TATGGGCACATAACACACCAAACTAAATCCTTTGCACATGGACTATCTCACTCATCTCCTATCCCAGGGTTAGGAGGCATGAGTGCTACTGTTATCTCAATAATGACAGATGAGGAAATGGGATTAAAGGTCCAATATTGCACAGCTTATGTGTACCCAAATCAGAAATTTCCTAAATCGAATTCCTTTTTTGACAGGATCTCCCTGTAGCCCTGGCTGGCATGGAACTCAATATGTAGACCAAGCTGGTCTTGAACTCACAGAGATCTACCTGCATCTGTGCTGGGATTAAAGGTGTGCACCACCATGCCCATCCTAAATAGGATGCTTAATCGCCATACTGGGTTGCTTGATATTTAATCAGAATGCTGGATAAGATTCTATAATTTGGAATTTGTACAGCTCTCAGACCACTGGCTGTGTACTGTAAGCACTTAAATACATAATTTGAGGTTTATGATTTTGTTAATTTTGATTTTATTTTTTTCTTTTTTAAAAAATTTAATGAGTCAGGGTTTCATATAGATCAGGCTGGTGTTTATCTTGCTATATCGCTGAGGATGACCTTAAACTAAACTCCTAGTTCTCTTAAGTGATGAATTATAGGTATACACCACCATGCTTGAGTTTTGATTTTACAGACTCTGGCCTTTTAGTTCAACAAACCAGTAAGAAAATGATAAATAAGTAAGGCACACTATTAGGCAAATCCTAGAAGAAATGAATGGAAAAGGAAAATACAAAAAAAGTCTGTTTTACTACTGAAATAGATTTTAAACTACTGTACCTGTTTTTTGGAGACAAGGTCTTACTAGGTAGTCCAGGCTGGCCTTCACTCAGATCCTTCTGCCCTAGCCTCCTGTGGACTGGCTTTACAGGTGTGTGCCACCATGCTTGGACTGAAATAGACTTTTGATGGCTAGATTTTTTTTTTTTGGCACTGGGAATCAAACCCCTCAGGGCTCACATGTGCTAAGCAAGTATCATTGAGGTATATCTCCAGCTCTTTGAGACCCATTTTTAGAATGGCAATAACTTTTTTATGTTTATAAATATGATACATGAGAAATACAGAATGCAAGAAACGTAAATTTCCAGAGAATAACTACTGACATAAACAAGTATACATCATAAAATTTTATTTAATTGCTATAACACCAGAGTACTGTTGCTCTTTAGAAATGGAATACTGTGAGAGTTGGGGACATAGCCCACTTGGTATGATACTTGCCTGGCATAGGGGAGGCCTGGTTCAATCCTTAGTGCCAATAAATAAATAAATGGCTGAATACGCTCTGCATTCCATGTTAATAAATAATGTTATCCTGTGCTGGGCATGGTGGTGCACGCCTTTAGTTCCAGTACTTGGGAGGCAGAGGCAGGTGGATCTCATGAGTTTGAGGCCAGCCTGGTCTACATAGTGAGTTCCAGGCCACCTGGGGATACTGGGAGACCCTGACTCAAAAAAAAAATAATGTTATCCTTAGTAGCTGAATGGTATTCCATTTTCTCATAAGAGATTGAAACTTGGGTTTTTTTTCCTTAGGTTCTTAAGTTTTTAAGTAGTGCAAAGTAAAATTAGTAAAGGATAAGATCTTGGATCTTTCTCATATTTCTCTTGTATTACTATATATATTTGTATTTTTGAGACAGGGTCTCCCTATATCCCCAGCTGGCCTGGAACTTGCTATGTAGACCAGGCTAGCTTTGAACTCCCACAGGTCTGCCTGCTTCTGCCTCCTGAGTGCTGGGATTAAAGGTGTGCACCACCATGCCTTGCTTTTCTTTTTTTGTATGTTTATGGTTAATTATTTGTTGATTTGTTCTATACTTATTTGCTAAGAAGAATTGAGCTGGATGTACAATCATTGTCATCCAAGTAACTAGGTTTTTGTTGTTGGTTTTTTATTTTTTAGAGACAGAATTTCATGTTGCTCAGGCTTGCTTCGAACTTATTGTGTAGCCAAGGATGGCCTTGAAGTTCTGATCCTTCTGCCTCTCAAGTGCTGGGATTACAAGTGTATACCATCATACCTGGCATGACTGTTTCTGTTAAGAACAATTATACTAATCTTATTTTCATGCTAAATGTTTTAATAAATAAACAACATTTAAAGATTTTTTTCTAAAGCTTAATGGAAGCTGCATTCTGAAATTTTGAAAATTGTATGAGCTTTGTAGTAAAATTGAGTTCAAGGTCAGATCCTAGATCTATCAGTTTTAGCTATGTAAATAACTTGAGTAAATTGCTTAATATCCTAAGCCTGCATTTTCTTATTAGGAAATCAAGGATTGTTATTGCTCTCTAACAGAAGGAATATGCTAACTTGAGATACACATGTACAGTACCCAACACAGTAACTTAGTTTTCTCTCTTACATAGTTAGGCAAGAGGTTCTCCACCTTTTCTGTGCCATTTACTCCTTTGCAAGTTTAGTGAAGCCCATGGAGGATCCCTCCCTTCCACCACCATCAGAATGATTTTATACATGCAAATGAAATGTATTACCAAGGAAACCAGTTATATTGAATACAGTTATGAAAATACTTAAATTTGAGTGCTTCCTGTTTCAACTCTCTGTTTGGACTTAGCTGGGGGAATGAATGACTGGATGGACTAATGAAAAGTAAACATAAAAAGGGATGAGAGAAAGCTCATAAACACAGAATGCCTGGTTTTGACTTTTTTTCAAGCTGTTATCTCAGATTTCCAACAGGGTCCTAGAAGTTTCCTCCTCTGGCACTCTACAGGCAACTCACCCCAGCAGGGAAGTCAAATACCTCTCCCAAGCCAGCTGCTTTTCTGTTTTCCCATATCGATAATCGCCACTTTTGTCTATTACCTCAAGTTTAAATCCACAAATCTCACTTGAATTGTCACTTTTTCACTCTATTCCAATATCAAATTAGTCACTAATATCTGTAGATTTTTTTAAGGCTGAGGAAGGTACCAGGGCTTTGCCACATCGTAGTACTCTACTGAGCTACATCTCCAACCTTCATCTTACAGATTCTATACGCACAATGTCTCCTTTAGCCTATCCAAATTTAAGACCCTCTTACTACATCCTTGTCATTTTCTGCTGGGCTCCAACTTCCTCTTTCACAGAGTATTTGAGCATTTGGGGGCAATTTGATAGATTCTTGTCTGCATCTAAAATGCTGCAACACTGGGATGTGACATTCTGCCTCATACCTAATTGTCAACTAACTATTGGTAAATTTGTACATATTTTCATTTTCCTAAATATTCTGAGTTCTTTGAGGAAGTGGACCATTTCTTACATTTATCTTTATATCTCCCCATAGTGCTTAGTACAGTTCTTTAAAAAAAGATTTTATTTATTTAATATTCTTATTGGAGAATTTCATACAATGTATTTTGATCATATTCAGCACCCCCTTCCCCACCTACCCTTTTATTACCCCTCCACCTTCATGTCCTCTGTTATTTTTCATACAATTTTTTATTTTATTATTTTTAAATTATGTGTTTATGTATGGGTTTGTGCACATGTATTCAGTGCTGGAGTTAAAGGCAGTTGTGAGCCACCCGAGGTGGGTGCTTGGGATCAAACTTAGGTACTCTGGAAGAGCA